GTTGTTGCTGTTGCTGCTGCTAGTGTGATTGTGCGATACGTGAGAGTGCAGTGAGGATTGACATGCGCCGTTGGTGTGAAGACGCAACGCCATGGCCGTCGGCTGTCGCCTTTGGGTCTGAGACGGCTTCCCGCACGCCGCCCGGTACGAACTTGGCAATGTCGTCCTCCAGGGTCTCGGTGAGCGTCTCTGACAGGCCTAGGGTCTCGCCGCGCAGCAGTTCTACCTCGTATGCGAGGCGGCCGCCGCTCCTGAGGATGTCGTTGGTCAACTCGGTTAGGGTGTTTGTCAGCCTGGTGGTGTGGGCGTTTAGTTGTGATAGGGTGGCCTGAGTCTGGATGGAGAGCTCTGCGAGGGGCACTGCCCCCTGGCTTGAGGCTTGGTTCCCGGGTGTTCGAGAAGAGGTCTGTAGCGGGGGTAGGGTGGCGTTGAGATATGAGGCGGCATCGAATGAGGGGCTCAAAAAGTCTTGGAGGAAAGGGTCGGCGACATGCTGAGATTGTGGTTGAGTGGCACGTTTTGCTTGCTGCTTCGCGTGAATGGCAATGCTCCTGGTCCCCGAGGCGGCACTGCTTTGCCTCGGTCGAGCTGCCTTTGAGTCCCAGGCCATGTTTCCTTCGTTTCACTGAAGACGGCAACAGACTCCTTTCCAAGTCCTGGTGGCGTGGCGCCCTGTATATCCGGGATTCTAGATGCCTATATTCCTCGATCACCAGGTAGATTCCTCACGTTTTCTCGGCTCCTGGGTTACTGGGTCCGGGTTGGCCTTGATTTAGTGCAGCCACAATTTAACCGCGCGTAAGCTCCGTGCTGCGAATAAATGACAACAGAATTTGAAACGAACGGAAGAAAAAGGAAAAACGGAAAAGAAGACACGGAAACGCTGGGTTGTTGATGCTATGGTTGGTGAAATGGCTGGCCAGCTCACTTTATTGTTCTTCCTCTCGTTTCCCCAGATCAAGCCCAAGATCGCTGATGCCAGCTGGTGACACTTGAGTGGATTATCGCTCGCCAGGCAGCGAGGCCCCTGTTGCATCGATATCAAGCAATGAATCATCGAAGTTGTCCCATTTGGGACAAGGCTCCACAATATTAAACGACGTCCATTGCCGTTTCCTTGTGTTACCTTGTGATGCGTGGAAGCCAGACAAAACAACCAAAGCCCAGTCTGCCTGCGCTGGTCGTTGGCGCTGAGGGCCCAAGCATTCTTACCAGTTGCCCTGTGTTCTGTGATGCGCCAACGTGATGTTTAGTTTTTCAGCAGATGCAAGAAGGAGTCGGGCAAGGCAATGCAGGGCAACTGTATCCCCATCAAGAGGCTGAGGCAGATGACCCGGTTACTTTGATGTTTGTTCACAGCCTTCTGTAATTCGGTGAGTGCGTGCGAGAAACCCATTTAAACAGTGCACAGGCAGCTCTGGAAGAAATTGATTGGATCTTTCCATCATACCCAACTTTGGACGTTTCCGAAATTCAACGTGGGAATTGCCCGATCAGAGTGCTGGTAGGTAAGGTACCTCCCGACTAACATCCAACCCCGCTGTTGCTGCCTGCCACCTCTACACTCCCAGGCCGGCAATCTTGAACCTTAACTTCAACTCAATGACCTCAGCCTCAGCTTCAGCATCCAGCAGCCCCATGTAACGACTCATTTTCCAAACGTCATTGTGATTTTAGGTATTTAATCCCCCCATCGTCAGTCTGTTCATCTCCCCCACCTGTATACATCCTACACGCACACAACCAGGTTCGATTCTTTCAACCTACTCGTTCAACCTTCTTTCAACCTTAATTAGGTGCGACAACTACAGGTTTATGTTCCCCTGAATTGCTTCCACCCCCGATAATGCCTTTTGTTGCTTGACTGATTTTCTGGCTGTGCCTTCTGTTGGCCGACTTACATAACTAACCGGCGACTGAGCAAACCTGCAGACCAAACAATTCTCCTACTTCATTTCGAAGTACGGCTGATGACAGAAAACCCCCTCCTCATAATCTCCTGAGCTGCGACGCATCATCTCGGTTCCCTTTTCTGGCCACAAACCACTCGTCTTCCTCAGTGTTCCACAGCGGCCATGAGTTTTACGAAATTCAAGACTCATGTCTCCACGGTCGCCCAAAAAGCTGCCAGTGGCGGCATTCCGGGTGTGCGCTCCGTGGAAAGCGGAGATTCCGACGGCGAGGTAGTCATAATTTACCATCACACAAGCCTAGCGAGGGATGTGCGCATCCAGGCTCTAGCCCAAGATGTCAGCGAATATCCCGACGGAAACATGTTCATGCTTTGGACCAATGACGCCGACCCACCACCAACACCAGTTGTTACTGCCGTCCAGGGTATTCAAGACTACCTTATTGGCATGTCGGTCTACGAAATGGTAACAGGGTTGGCGAGTCGTCTCGACCAAGAGATCGGCCGTGCCTTGGATGGCCGACTAGAGGACCCGAACGACGCCGACGAAGAGGAGGAGGCCGACGACTACGATGCCGCATGTGACACAGAATATCCCTCCGACGAGGACGAATTTGGTTTACCATCTATACATCCGCAGCCCTCTCAACATAGCAACTACCGAATGGAAAAACAAGGGCCGTTGCTTCAGCGCATCCGGCGGGACCTCCGCCAGGTAAAGGCTGCAGGTTACAAAGTGGGCTTCCTCGACACCTTCGGTAAGACCTCCGTTACCGGACATGTTGCAATCTCCATACGAGCCGACAAGCTGGCTCTGTCCAACGAGGTTTTGGAGGCGTGGGATGTCAAGTCCACCGAATACATTGTCCTCGTCATGCGCTTCGAAGACCCCTACAGTCCGTTAGACAAGGTTATCGACCAACCCGCACTCCGGACCCGGGTGACATTTCGCATCGGAAAGTGCACAACGTACAAACCGTCCATCACTGAAGCTCTGCGATTCTTTTCCGAGTCTAATCGCCCACTGGCCACCGACGGCGACCCCAGCCCAGACGGCACGGAGCGGGGAGATGACGACGCTACCTTTGAGAAGCTCCTCATCTCTAACTCGCTGGACTCATTCTTATGCGAAAGTTTTGTGTCCCTCGTCAAGATCCGCCAGTCTCACAATCTCAGTTGGGAGAGCGCCAATGAGTTCCTACTGTCGAAAATCGGGCTTGTCTCGGAAGCCTACCGGCCCCCCGAGCCCTCTGTCTGTAACGGCGACGTCAACACATTTCTCACCTCGGACCATCTTATGGGGGATGACTCCAATAGCAAGCGCAGTTTCCCCCTCGTCGCCATGCAGTTTGCCATGCACTACTTTGTCAAATGTACCGAATACTGCCTACGGTGCCACTGCCGACTCGAGAAGGGCTTCGAGGCTTTGCGTCCGTACGTCTGTTCTGACCCGCTGTGCTTATTTCAGTACATGGCCATGGGCTTCGGTCCGTCTATAGAGCGCGAGATTCTCACAGAGCCTTATGTTGTCGACCTGCTCGTCAGCCTGTGCTACTCGGCCATCCAACCAGGGATTACACGTCCTTTCATCGGTGGTGCGAACCCCGAGGGTAGGCTCCCTATCCGATCTCTCCCAATCGGGTTGCGCTTCAAGGTTCCGGATCTGGCCAACCCTACTGTCAAGCCGTTGAAGGTGGCGGTGGTGCCGGGTCACGCATGCCTCGTCTTCGAGAATATGGAAGCTAGCGACTTTGGTAATCATCTGGCGCCGGCCCAGTGGCTCGCCTTCCGAAAACCCGGTCACCACCTTACACAGCACGCGCGTGTACGGGAGGTAAATAGCGCCACCAAAACGGCTTTCATCGACGTGATGGGTGAGTCTTCCGCCTCCTGGTCCGTGGTCGGGGCCGAGCCTTTCTGGAATCCATCATCACCGTCCTCCGGGTCTCCGTTGGAGACTGACAGCGCCGATGTATATCTCTATGATACCGATTTCGACTCCCTGGACGACGCCAACAAGGCAAAATCAATGCGACACGTTCTTGATACCCTCCCGCCCATCCTCGAGATTGAGGAGTGGCTGGCCAGCCATCCACATAGCACCCTCCGCTCTATGGAGCGCATCTCCCCGGCCGCCGTATCACTCCTTCAATGGATCGTATCATCGAACCGCTCTTGCATCTTTCAGGTCGACCGCTCGCGGGCCATCGCTCAGCGGCGTCAGGCGGTACCAGACCCCCAAGCCCCTGGCTCTCAAACCCCCGACCCTAAAACCCCGGTCACCAATCCTCGAGATGACGGAGGAGTAGCTGGTAGGGGCACCAACCGGGAACACGAACGCATCTTGGGGATGGAAGGATGGGTCCAGTTCCGTTTCGCCCAGGGCTCGCCAGACAAGGAGCTACGGTTTAACAGAGCGCTCCAAGAAGTTGCTGCACGCAAAGACATCGACAAAAGCCCGACGATATTTGCCTGGCATGGGAGCAACCTCTCCAATTGGCACAGCATCGTGCGGACCGGTCTCGACTTCCAAGACATAAGCTGCGGGCGCGCCTATGGGAATGGTGTCTACTTCAGCAGGTCCCACGAAACGAGCGTGACCTATTCAAGTGCGGCCCAATCGTGGCCGAATTCAGACCTCAACATCGGCTTCTGCCTGAGTTTGAACGAGATCATCAACGCGCCTGATGAGTTCGTCTCCCAAACGCCGCATTATGTGGTATCCCAGCCAGACTGGCACCAGTGTCGTTATTTGTTTGTTCGGGCTGTTGGTGGGAAAACGCAGCCGCTGGTTCGAAGCCAATCGAAAATGGATGCAGAGCAGAAAGCCCTGATTCGAGAAGGCAAGCCGGCGAAGCAACGGGTTTACTACCCACAAGCTGAAGGGCGTGAGGTCATGGGCCAGGGCGGCCAGTTTTTACAGATACCCCTTTCGGCTATCCCTATCCGAACCGTTGGGCCACCATCCGCCGCGCTGTCTGGTACTGTAAAGCGGACAGTGCAGCTGCTCGAAGACAGCGGAGACGAAGACGCCCAAGATGTGGCTTATTTGTTCTCGGACGACGAGTCCGACGAACCTACCGGCCCGCCAAATAAAAAAACGGCATCGCGCGCCTCTAGCATAGACGTCGCAGCCACCCAAAACAGGTACGAGGAAAGCCCGATTCCTGGGCTCCTTGACAAGATACTGACAAAGTTCCGCAGCATCGGCCGCGGTCCCCCGACTCCGGCCAGCATCAACATCGACCGAACCCTCACCGACTTCGAGCCAGGCGCCCTCGACCTCTCGACCCTTCCACGCCTCGAGCCGCCCTCCTTCGCAACCGACGCAGCCACACGAACCCTCAGCCGCGAGCTGATGCGCATGCAGGCCGTCCAGTCCAGCACGCCGCTGCACGACCTCGGGTGGTACATCGACTTCGACAACATCAGCAACATGTTCCAGTGGATCGTCCAGCTGCACAGCTTCGACCCCTCCCTCCCGCTCGCCGCGGACCTCAAACAAGCCGGCCTGACGTCGGTGGTGCTCGAGCTGCGCTTCGGGGCCGACTTCCCCTTCTCCCCGCCCTTCGTCCGCGTCGTGCGGCCCCGCTTCCTGCCCTTTTTGGAGGGCGGCGGCGGGCACGTCACCGCGGGCGGCGCCCTGTGCATGGAGCTGCTCACCAGCTCCGGCTGGTCGCCCGCCAACAGCCTGGAGAGCGTCCTGCTGCAGGTGCGCATGGCCATGGCCACGCTCGAGCCCCGCCCGGCGAGGCTCGATCGGAAATATCTTCCCACGGCTGCTGCTGATAGTGCAAGAAAGGGGAAGGCGAGGGTGAATGATTATGGGATTGGCGAGGCGGTGGATGCGTTTGTGCGGGCGGCGAATTCCCATGGCTGGGCGATTCCGGAGGGGTTGAGGGTTACGGCTATGGGTGTTTAATGAGGGGGGTGCGATGTGAGATGGTGGTGCTATGACGTTGTGGTTTCGTCGTTGATTTGGCTTGGCTTGACCGCCTGCCCGGGGATAGAGAATCCTGCTTGGGGCCTGGATGGTTTTGATGTGAGATGTGTATGTAAAACCTATCTATCTACGTTGGTATGCATGTGCACTCGATACGATGCGGGGACCCCAGAAGACCAGATAGACGGGAACATGCTGGAAACGGCGTTGTAATGGGAGCAAGACTTCTTGCTGATTCTGGAGTTTTTATTTGGGTTGGGCTCATGGTGTTTGTTTGGGATTGTTTGAGGCTATGGGACGTACGGCATTCCCTGGCCAGGAGGGAGGTGGATGTTATCAGTGCAGGTGTCGATGACGGGTCATGGCCTCCTCAGGTGGAAGCCTGTTTCCTAGGCCTTCATGTTGGCCCTTCCGAGTCGTACATACACTTTGTTTTCCGCAGCCACAATGACGATCTGTCTCGGCGCGGCACTTTCTATTTTCGTTAGATAAATCTTCTAGGCAGGTAGAAACAGACTCGGTGCGCGCCGTGCGAACCTTCGACTTCCATCTTTAGAGGGCTTTCGCGTCATAGAGTCTATCGTAACCGACGCTCTCAGTCCTGGCGCTTTCCGAAACAAGAATAGGAGATTGTGATGGAGCGTTGTTTCCTTTCATCATTGCCAGTCTGGAACCAGCTCCTCAGATCTATTTAACCACCGCTTTGTTTGTTTCTCTTCCTGAACCACCATTCCATATCTTCTTCTCGCACCTATTTTCTTTCATCATTTGTACCACCAACCCGCCGCTCATTGATACGACTAGTTCCCATCCTAAGATCCATCACCACTCCGTCTCCCAAATTTTACTATTAGCGCACCGATGTTCTAACACGAACATACCGCGCAAGACACCTGCGCGCGGCCCGCTGGGAAATCCACCCAGAGCATCTTCAATGAGACCTGATCCCTGGTGTCACCAATATAGCGGTCTTCGGTTGTGCTATTACCGGACATGTCGCAATCTCAATCCGAGCGGGACCAAAAATTCATGCAATTGTGCTGGGATTCTCCTGAATGCCTGCACAAGTACACCCAGTGAGCACGCCCGCCGACCGAAGCCCAGAACCAACTAACTGACTCATTACATAGGCAGGCGAATTATCTTCGACATCAAGGCCCTTCTTGATGTTGGCCAGCACCCGCCGACGAGGAGACGGCGAACAGATACGGACACGAGGAACACCGGGCCTCGCAAGCGACGAGCGCCGCGACCGGAAAAGATGCCGCTATCACCCAGCAACCCAAAGGTACCGGCATTGTGAGCTGCGGCTCTGACAGGCTGAGGAGGCCCCATGGTCGCCCACACTGGCTAACTCATTTTCGGACGGACCACTGACGGGATACCTGCAGTTGGACTTCGGTGGCTGGAAGCGACATGCCTGTCCCCTCTCCGGCGCGCATCAGGAAGGGTGGGAAAGTGTGGAGCACGAACCTCGAGGAGAGGCAATCGCTACTGCAGAAGAGAAGGGATCAAATGATTCTAGAGGCGAGGAGGAAGATGCAGGCGAAGCTCTCTGCGGAGAAGGCTGCAGCTGAAGATGTGTTTGCTCCGACATCACAGCGGCCTTGTCCGCTTTGGTGGCGCCCCCCAACACCCTCTGCTCAACGCGGGAATGGCGACGCCAGCTTCAGTCAGCTTCTTCATGATCCAGTCGATGATGGTAGAAGCAAAGGGGGATGCGCGACAACTCCTTCACCCTTTCCCCAACAACCAGCCCACTGCCCGGCAACCAATCAATCACTACGCCGGGACCGGCCCATCGGGATCTGATTACGGCGGTACAATTTGAGGAACAAGATCAGGGCGGCCGACAGCGATTCGGATGACCCCAGCAGCGGGACTGAGGCCCGGGTCGCCAAAGTTGGATATCAGGCGTTGCCCGTGAAGCGGCCTCGAAAAGCGGAGGGCCGAAGACCGCACAGGCAGGAAGTTTGGCGACACTCATGTCCGATGCCCAGATTCGACTTGCTCCCGAGACACCCCCACGACGGAACTCGGCAGTGGAAAAATGGGTGCCTGCACAAAGACGCTATCTGCGAGTTTTGTCATAAAACGGTAGCCTTCGTGGAAAATGAGTACGCACTACAACTTCGACCGCGAAGGTGCCATGACCGTACTGTCGTCAAGGGTTGGGCGTCGAACAGGGCGCAGTTCACTGACTTTAGTAACGTCAGCTGGCGCAATGCCCGGCTACCTGCTCGTTGGCCACAGTCCGCTGCATCGAGAGCGTGGATGTGCTGACCAACGACTTCCGGATCTTCACAATCGACGGCTGGAAGGTGGTTGCCCACAAGAACAGTAGGTTCACCCCAGGAGAATTCGTCCTATATCTGGAACCCGGCGCCTTCCTTCCCAGCGACGCCCCCACAATTGGTCTGGCTCTCGGAAGAACGTCTGGAGGGTGCTCCCACGGATCCCGACAGACCCAATATTTAGCGAACACCTTCGCCCCGGGCGCAAGCCTCATGACTGGCGCGCCGCAACCCGGCATACTTGGACGGGAGATGGGCGTGGACGAGTTTGCCTCCGTACACGACATAAACATCCATCAGTTTACCCTTATAACTCCCTAGGAGCCCGACCAGTTTTTACCGATACCCCTTTCGGCTATCCCTATCCAAACCGTTGGGCCACCACCATCCGCCTCGCTATCTAGTACTGTAAAGCGGACAGTGCAGCTGCTCAAAGACAGCGGAGACGAAGACGCCCAAGATGTGGCTTATTTGTTGTCGGACGACGAAGTCCGACGAACCCCGCCGGCCCGCCAAGTAAAAAAGCGGCATCGCGCCTCTAGCATAGACATCGCAGGCCATTACCCGAGTTCGAGTTTCACTTCTACCCCTGGCGGGCTCAAAAGGCCAGTCCTGTTCGGCTCGCGGCTATCGCCCTCTCCTAACACAAGCCACACGGGAGCGGGAGATGGAAGAAAAGTGCCTGAAGCAGGCAAAGGAGGCCGAAGAGAATGCCAGTCCCTACCTACTGCAGCTTCGCCAATGCACCTCTTGAAGCGACGACGCGGTTCCGCTGATTCCAAACACGCCGGGCATTTTGGAAGCAAGGGGTTTATCGGCACAATGATGTACGAAATGAGTCTCGGGGGGTCTCTTTTATGAGAATGATGATGGGTTGGGCATGGCTTGGACTTGGCAGCTTTGCATTTCTTAAGAAGGTTCAGATTGCACTCTTCGGTAGGTATGTTGGGTGTTCTGTATAATCGGCCTAGCGGTTGTTTTTAGATCGATTCACGCACGCATTTGTGAAGCCTAGGGAGGTGTCTCCATATCGTGATCTTGTGGCTCTGCTCGTGCGTCCCCGTCCACCGTCTTCCCCAAACACTACCCAACACCTGCGAGTAAAATATCTCCTTACGCTACTCTGGGCACTGGAAGACCTCCGGCCCAGGAATGGTGTAGTTGCCCGCTGCATCTCTCGTTAGCCCTAGGAAACGGTAGAGAAGGGGGCGGGGGGTGGAGGGTAGGGGAGAAAGGGGGAAAGGGGGAAGAGAACAAAACACAAAAGAAAAAGAGAAAAAGCACCTACGATTCCAAACATCAATAAAAATCCCCACATCATCCGCCTTGTACGCCCCCGGGAAACTGACCAGGCCCTCGGTCGGGTTGATCGTGCCGATCCCGGTCACGGCAGCTGGTGACAGACCGGTAGACTGTGCCTGCCCGGCCGCCCACGCCGATGTCAGCGCCGATCAGCTCGTGCCGTACCAGGTAGGCGCCGGGCTGGAGCCAGAGCGGGATCGTGTAGTTGTAGCCCTGTGTGGAGGCGTGCATGAAGAGGATCTTGGGTGTGGTGGTGGTTAGTTCAGGGTTGAAGGGGGTTACGAGGGGGATGGGGGGGGGGTTGGGGTTCGATAGGAGGGGTTGGGAAAAAGGAGCTCTTACCACAGCCCAGATATCATCTGGCCAGGTCTTGTCGATGGTGTGGCGGCCGTCGTGGTGGATCTTGAAGAAGACGGGTCTGGTTTAGGTCCAACACGGTTCTTGTCAGTATATCTCTCCCTTTTCCTTCTGAACACCCCATGAACGGCAGAAAGCTGGGTCTGGAACAACTCAACGTACTCCTCGCCAGGTAGCCACTTGTCGCACCCCTCGTCAGGGCACCGCGCCATGTAAGTGAGGATGGGCCCCATGTGCGAGTCGGGCCACAGCGTCCACTTCAGGTTGACGGTCGACCCGGCTTTGGCGGTGGCATGGAGTGGGGCGGGCTCAGAACCGATGATGCCCTCGCTGCTGATGCCGCCGCATTGGAGGTCGATCGACGTCACGTCCTGGACGGGGCCGTTGGAGGTGATTTTGCGGGAGATGCGATCGGGGGCGCCGTCGCCCATGTACGGGTCTTGGTAGGGTTGGTAGAACTTGGGACGAGTTAGACGGGGAAACTAGACTATAAGCTAGAGAATGTGAGAGGTTGAGGGCTTGCCTGGTAGAACTGGCCGGCGATGGTGGCATTGTCGACCCAGCCGTGGGCCGAGACCGAGGCCACGGTTGCAAGGCCGACGAGGAGGTACTTCATGATGGCGACGTCACCTTCAAGGAAGCAAAACGAACTTGTGGTATTTCGTTCTTGGGTTGAAAGGGGGCCTCAGGGACAAGAACGCTTATATAGCATCTACACCTTTTATTGTTTTTGTCCATAATACCTGGCCCCCTTCCGGTTACATCGCCGTAGCCAACCATTGTGCTAACCACTGTGAACCAACTGTCTCTTGCCTAACTCGACCCGGGGGTAGTATGTAGTTGATACCCTGTGAGTGATCGACGGCATAGTCGCCCCCGATCCGGATCACACCCCGTTGCGGCGTTTATAACAAGGGGATTGATTCCACCAACCTCAAGGCCGGATTATCTTCAATACACCTCCTAGATTTACTCTTATATCAAAATTTGGGACGTGGGACTGGCATTCGTGCGGAGAAGCAAGTGGCTAACCCGATACCACCTCCCGGCTTTTACCAGGTTGGGTCAGTTAAAGTGACAATCGCTTCCCATCCCCCCGTCCCAGAATTGCAGTCAAGCCCGTTTCGCTTTATATTCGGCTTGGCGTTTACTGACAACCCCGGGACGGGAGCCGGGAGCCGTGGATCCGCACATCGGAGCCTCCTATCCCGCACTGCATTGGTGAGCAAGTAGTATCTTCACTACCGGTTTCCAAATGATCGGCATAGCGGGACCTGAAATCGAAATTAATCGGTCCCGTTGTCCAGAAAGCGAATGGAACGTGAGAGTAGCATGAACAACAACATGATGCCCAGGGCCACCCCTTGGCCTCCTTTTTAGTTGAGGGGACCGCCACCTCTGGATTCGAGGATATTGACCCAACCTATCTCGAAAAGGCTGCACGTGAGAGTAGCCCTGCGGTAAATCCAGTCGTGAAACCTATCACGATGCTGGGGTCAGTCTTATTCACGGCCTTGGCCCTCTTGGGTTCGGCATGTGCCCAACAGTCAGAAACCTTCACGAACCCCGTCCTATACGAGGACTTCCCGGACAATGACATCTCCATGGGGCCAGACGGCGCTTATTACTACTCGGCGTCCAACTTCCACTACAGCCCCGCCGCCCCTATTCTCCGGTCCTACGATCTCGTCGACTGGGAATTCGTCGGGCACTCGATCCCACGCCAGAACTTTGGCGATGGCTACGACCTGCCGCCCACCGGCGAGCGGGCCTACCGCGGCGGGACCTGGGCGTCGACGCTGCGCTACCGCGAGAGCAATAAGACATGGTACTGGATCGGATGCACCAACTTCTGGATCACCTGGGTGTTCACGGCGCCGAACCCGGAGGGCCCCTGGACCCAAGCAGCCAACTACGGCGGCGGGGTCTGCTTCTACGACAACGGCCTGCTGATCGACGACGACGACACCATGTACGTCGTCTACACCTACGACGGCGGCAAGCAGGTCAACGTGACCCAGCTCGCCCCGGACGGCCTCAGCACCGTGCGAACCGAGAAGGTCCTCGAGCCCGGCCAGGTCGGCGTCGACGACGTCGAGGGCAACCGCATGTACAAGATCAACGGGCTCTACTACATCCTCAACGACCACCCCGGCAGCACCGCCTACGTCTGGAAATCCACCTCCCCCTGGGGCCCCTACGAAGGCAAGCCCCTCGCCGACAACGTCCAAAGCCCCCTTCCCGGCGGCGGCGCCCCCCACCAAGGCAGCCTGATCGAAACCCCCCAAGGCGACTGGTACTTCATGTCCTTCACCTGGGCCTTCCCCTCGGGCCGGCTGCCCGTGCTCGCGCCCATCACCTGGCAAGACGACGGCTTCCCAACCCTCGTCACCAACGCCACGACCGGCGCCTGGGGCACTTCGTACCCGCTCCCACTCCCGCGCAAACCCCTCAACTACACCTGGTCGCAAACCCACTACCCCTTCACCACGCTGACCACCCTCCCGCCCGCCTTCGAATGGAACCACAACCCGGACACGGCCGCCTACACCCTCACGCCGGACACCGGCCTGGTCCTGCAAACGGCCACGGTCAACACCACCGACGACCTCTACGCGGCGCGCAACACGCTGACGCACCGTGTGCACGGGGAATTCCCGACTGCCACGCTCGAGCTAAATGTGAGCGGGATGCTGGATGGGGGACCGCGCGGGCCTGGCGGCGTTCCGTGACCGGAGTGCGTATATTGGGCGTGCATCGCACGGGGGAGAGGTGGGGAGGTAGTGGGCAAGGTTTAATATGACGCTGGATGAGTGGGGGTGGGGCCGACGTTGGATTTGGGGGAGGTGGTTGAGAGGGTGGAGTTGGCCGCCGAGGGAGACGGTGGGTTTGAGGGAAGGTGTGGTTCCGTGTGAGTATGGATGCGAGGCCGGATGGGGATCATGGGGCCGAGT